TCCTGGGGCAGGGGGCTGGACACAATGATCCTTCGGGGTCCCTTCCAGCCGAATGTCTACGAAATCTATGAAATCATTTCATCACATTGATGACTCATGTTCATCTTGGAGTCAACTATGACTCCAAGACCCCTTTCTGCTGCTGTGAAGCTGCGAAGGTCACCCCCCAGCCTGTAAGTGTGTTGGTGGTTCTTTTTGCCCAGGTGCAGTACTTTGTACTTGTCTTTGTTGAATTGCATCCTATTTTGTTCTGCCCATTTTTCCAACCTGTCCAAATCTGGGCCAAATTTGGGATAGTAATTTACTACAGACAAGTGGTTTTCAACTTGTGGTCCAAGGACCCCTTGGGGTCTGCAAACTATGTCTAAGGGGTCTGCAAAAGATGACTATGATCAATCAAAAGTATGTGAATACTGATGCTTACAATTTAAAGGGGCCGACACCACTATTTGAAATTTTTTAGGGGTCCACAAATGAAAAAAGGTTGAAAACCAGTTACAGATGAATAGGCTATTGAATATTTTTCCACCTAGCTTATGTTAGGGCACTCTAACCATCTTCTCTTTTGTTCATTCAGGATCCTGCTGCAATTTATACTGGGGCACATCTACACAAGATGCTACATTGCTGTAGTTATGAGTTAGTGACACAGCTCATTGCTGTGGTGATGTAGCATTGGCAGGCATGAACCACTCATTGCTACTGTGCAATAGGGTTGGAAATAACCTATGCACTGCCAGGTCTTTATAGTAATGGCAGTTGGGGGCAGGGGTAGATGCACCCTTGATGTACCAAACTGATATAAATTACACTGGGGTAAAATTACTGTGTGTCTAGCTCTGAAAAGTGCTACTGAATTCAAAATGTCTTTCTTTCTACTCACTTAAATAAAGTAGAAAATGTCAAGTTTTGCACTTTTTGTTAACAAATTATGAAAACATACATGATGGAATCTGGATTAAAATGTATACAATGTTAACAACAAGTCAAGTAGCCTTCTACAGCGCTGGTTAAAACAGATTATGCATTGCAATTTTTCTCCCATGGGCATGAAAAATGGGTGCCTCCTGAAACTGGGGGGTGGGGCACCATTTGTAGTTAGTGGCTAGTGGCAAGCAGGGACCACCTGCAGATGTCGGTGAGGGGTGGCAAGCAGTGAGTAGGGACTGCCTCCAGACGCCGGTGGCAGTGTCAGCAGCAGTGAGTGGTGAGTGGGGACCACCCACAGACATTGGGAGCAGTGTTGGTGGTGGCAAGTGGGGATTGCCCATAGACACTGGCAGTGACGTTGGCGGTGAGGGGGTGGTGAGTGGCAACTGCTCACAGAAGCCAGCAGCAGCTTTGGTGGTGGCCAATCTCACGGGGGGCATGTGAGGCCCCATGCTGCCCCTACGCATCACCTATGCCCATGGGATGAGGTATAGGTATAATTTTTTCTATGTTAATTGTCCCTGCCAGAGTTGCAGGTACTCATAAGCAGTCTTTACTCATGCAGTGATAGTCTCACTGCTACTGTGGTTTACCCTAAAGCATTTCAGAAAGCAGGAGGAAACTACATCTCCTCAGTGGAAGTTCCATGAGGGATTGTGCCCCAGGACTGTGAAGTGGGTATCACTCTTGGACTTCAGCACTCAGGCAGCTAGTCACAAGTTGGAAGATGTGATGGACAAGAGAAAATCTCCTTCATTCTCTCTACAATCTGGGTAAATTTGCTCTTCTTGGGATTCCCCAAGAGCAAACTGCCATCACTATAGTTCTCCCAAAAGAATTGCAAGTATCCTTTTGCCCTTCCCTTTTACATTTCAGTGGGACCGCTTACATTCTTAAAGGTAACTATGGGTGTAAGATAAGCATGAACAGGCAACCTTATTCTTCACCACCAAGTGTCTATTGCCATTCAGATAACGGACAATGTCAGCAACAATAGTGGAATATATACAAAAATACAGATAATTTATTAAGTGAGGATTTCAAGATAATTCCTTTTCTTCAGTAATACAAATTCTGTACTAAAAGACAGGGTTGTTGGTTGTAGCCATGCTAGTATAAAGATATAGGCAGGCAAAGTTTTTTGGGAAGATGTGATATCTTTTATTAGACTAACTAAATAGTTGGAAAAAAGTTCTTTGGAATCTTTTGGGCACAAACATCTTTCTTCAGGCATTGGGAGATTGTGCTGCTGTTATGTATTCTCCAAGGTAGAAAAGAAGCTAAAGTATAACAAGAAGTCTGTGAAAATGCAAATGAGTGGAAGTTTGGAAGAGAAAAATTAGAGATGGGGGGAGGGAGAGAAGGAGGGAGGGAAATGTGTGAAGGAATGCAAGTGGTCAGTCTGAGGCAGGTTACCTTGTGTGTCAGATGTCAAGCAGGTTGCAATGTGTCATAAATCCAGTGTCTATATTAAGTCCATGGTTTTTTGTATTCAGTAGATTTATGAACTGAAGTTCATAGGCTCGTCCACAAAAGGTGTTTTGTAAGTTCCCTTTGAGGATTAGAACTGAGAGATTGGAGAGGGAGTGGCTATTTTGTGAGAAGTGGGAACCCACAGGTAATTGGCCATTTTTGTCCTTGATGGATTTTCAGCGTGCATTCATTCTGGTACACAGTTGTTGTTTGGTTACTTTTACATATTTTCTATCAGGGCGTTTGGTGCACTGGATGACATATTACATTTCTGGAGGTGTAGGTGTAAGATCTAGGAATGGTGATGGTTCTGTTGTGGGGTGTCATTATTGCAGGACTAAAAACAACAATGGAGTACTAAATGCCATACTAAAAAACAATGGCAAAGGAACACTGAATGCAAGGGCAATTACTTCCAAAGTCAATGAATGCTGAAAAAAAGGCTGACTGGGTATAATATTTGTTAGGTAACTGCTACAACCTGTCACAATGGTGTATTGGCCAGGAAACATCGGTCTAACAGCCATGCATGGTAGTGACCTTCTCCTGGTAGTGGCAGTATGTAGAGCCCTGAGTTTAGCAGTGGACCCCAGAGAAGGGCCTAGGGTCAGGTGCAGCAGTGGCCACCTGAGCCCCAAGGGGTGGATAGCTCCACGAGGGGATGTAAGACCCTAGGGCCAGGTGTGGTTGTAGCCATCTGGGCCCCAAGGGGTGGATGACCCCAGTAGGTGTGGGGATGTATGACCCTAGGGCCAGATCTGGTTGTAGGCACCTGGGCCCCAAGGGGTTGATGACCCTGGTAGAGCCCCAGGGAGGGAGCAGTGTGTATATTTTGAGTGGGCATGTATTTTAAGGGGGGAGATATGTGGCAGGGCACTGGTAGTGCCTGTCACTTTAAGGACTGGGGCAGGGAGGGGCAGGTGCCTGATTAGGGTGGCCATTTTAAGGCCCAGCTCCATGAGCTGAGGACAATTTTTGATTAGCCAGGAGAGGAGAAACACCTCTCTGCTGAGCTCTGCCAGGAACACTGCGGAGTGAGGCTATGGGGATGGAGGAAGCCTCATTTTGTCCTGGGTAAGATATGAAACTGCACCCTGCTGGGCAACACGGGGTCTGGTGGGGCTCCTGGTGGCAAGGGAGCCCCTAAGAAATGCCAGGCCAATCTCCTTCCCAGTTAAAGGCAAGTGTGGGGTGCCTCATAACCCGAGCCCCCACATCCCTGGTGGGTTCAACTGGTAGAGGGGGAGCCCAGGCTCATGGGAGTCCTGAGGCAGGGCCCAGGTTGGCAGAGGGACCTGGAGCAGCATCCAGGCTCTTTGTGAGCCCTGTGGCTGTAGGAACCCGGAGAGGGGTCAGGCATGGCTATGGCTACCTGAGCCTCACAGGGTGCAATATCCTAGGGCAGAGGGCCAGGCTATGGCCACCTGAGCCAGATGGGGTAGCAGACCCCAATAAGCCCCAGTGAGGTGGTGGTGTATGAGCCCCAGTGAGGGGGCCGAGGTCTTGGAGACCAGTATGTGTTTGTTTGCCTGTATGCTTTATGAAAGACCCAGTGCAAACCACTGGTGGATGTTATCTGCGAGGCTTGGGCTGCAGTATAGGGGTGGAACGGAGCTGTGGAAATCCCTCCTAAACATCGCGCTTCAAAATGGGCACCCTCCCACCTGAATAACATCCCAAGACTATTACATCAAGGCATGGCAGAAGAGTGAGGTGGGCAGCTAGCCCATAGACAAGAGGCAGGTCAGTGCTTGCACCAGGTGTCAAAGCTTGCCCCGTACCAGCAAAGAAAGAATTAAAAACTCATCATATAGACAGCAGACATATTCTCATTCCCCTTTATGTACCTTATCAATAAAGTTGGTGTGTAAAGTATCAGTAGCACTGAGGGTAAATTAAGAGCAACTCAAACAATTTCAATGTGTTGCCCCATGATATATATTGGAGTGTGAGACCACATTGTATCATGTTGACTTCAGCTTACTACAACTTTCAAATGGGTCAGATTCTATGCCAGAGCTTTGACAATATACCTTTAATTTTCTTTTCTTTTCTGGAGATAATTTATGCAAGACGAATTGTAGGGTCATCAAGCAAATAAAGGCATTTAGACTTTAAGGCAACCATTGCCTTCAAAATGAGAAGGTAATGACTTGCAATCCAATATTAAGGTAGACGTATAATGAAATGTTTAGGTTCATTTGAAAGAGACCTAATATTTCAGAACTTGTTTCTGACTTGTTACAGGTATGAAGGAATGCTGGGAACAAAATAATTAAAAAGAAACAACATTTTGTCATTGTTCACATTTTTCAAGGTACAATTAGGGGCCATGTTTTCCAAAGTTCAAAGTACATGTATTTGCAGTCAGAGCTGCAGGTAAGTTCATTTGCCACATTTACAGAAAAACCTGAGCATTTCAAGGGTTGGGCACTTAGAAAAAATCTAGCCCCACACTATACATAAATTGTAAACATATTTTATATATAGTATGAAAATGTATCACAGAACTACCAGCATGTGTAGTATTCAGGAAATAAAATTATCAAATATATTCTAATGATAATGTTTATATATAACAGCAGCATTCAAATGTTCAACTAGGTTGACGTTTTAGTGTGCTATGCACTGCACAGAATAAATGACAGTTACGGCTTATAAAATACTTTCAGTGATTTTTGACTGCACCATAAGTTCTAGAAAGGAAAAAGGAACTACAGTGCTGTTTATAATGGGGATAAATAATGAATTTTATTTTGGCAGTTGATTACTCCCTCTATATACAGGTGGATTGGCATCTCAGATAGTGAGTGTTCTTTCTATGGGAACAGGCAATTTGGACTATAATTTATACATATTACAAACACAGAAATTAAAATATAGTTATGAAATGACTGGACTTTCCACATATTTCATACAGTCCCCTACCAACAAACAGCAAGAAGGGGGAAAAATACACCCACCCCGAAGGATGGATAAATTATCATTTCTCAAAAAGTTGCTGCTCT